AAAATACACAAGCTAAAGGAATTCTTTCTGAACAAGGCAGAAAAACGTAATGTTTTTTTGAGCAGGCGATGATATTGTTACAGTGCCTTAAGAATTTAGTCCAGAGTTCTGCTGTTGGAGTCCAAACTAAAAAAGAAGAGTGTTTTTACCTGTCCTTAGGTCTCTATTCTGGCTTCCTGTGTCTCAAAGGTTGGATTCACCTCTGTCAGTGCGTGAGGCAGGAAAGGTCCTAGGCCAAAAAAACCTGCATATGCTATGAGGCATCCAGACCCTTCATGTCCCATGAAACAGGTTCACTCACTGTTCCCAGAATCAGAACCAGGCAGGGTGAGGCGGTTTCAGTGTCTCTGGCTTTGGGGCCAAACTAGAAACTCCCTCATGAAAAGTGTCTGTACCAAGTTATGACCAACAGAATGTGTGTCTTTGACATTACTGAGCAGCCGATCCTTCTCAGAGAGCTGACAAAATAGATTACTCAGGTGTCGCTCCTTTAAGGGTGTGGTTTATATCATTGACTATTTTACCAAAGACAAAAGCACATGGAAATGATCAAAATATTTTTTTTGAAACTAGAAATGACAAGAATCATGTGAGACCGTAAAACCACGTATAACCATTACAACTGTTGAAAGCTCTCCTCGCTGCTAAATAATAAAGTCTGCCTGTACTTTTACTCATTCAGAGTTTTAAGAATCCTCTATTGACCCCTGCCACAACTTTAAAGATACATACCTGCATGTCCAGTTTCACAGTTTTAAGATCCCCTAAAACCACCATTTTTCTTCATTTGACCTGCTGAAGGGCCTACGATCCACTTCAGCAGGTATGAGTCAAATTTGACCCTGACTAAACCATTCTGTAGAAACACTTGACAAAAGGAAAAGATGTGGCAGTATCATTATTTCTGTGTATTTTGTGTCACTACAGAAAAGTCACCGAAGTCTGAACTAAAGCAAGAACATTTTGACCCACAAAATGCTGCCTTGTTATAAATCATTTATTTCATTTTTTTTTTTAAATCATCTGTTTATTTATTGACCTTTTAATATATCTAGAGGGTTTAGAGAAACAGAGGAGAAGATGTGTCTTCCAGGCAAAAACAGAGTTGTTTCAGGCAGTTGGTGACTTTTGATTCCCTGACACAGAAAAGGAGTCAGAGAGAGGTGATGCCAGAAACATTCATCCAGGCTGGAAAATTTGATGAATACCTGTTCAGATTGCAGTTCCGTTCCTTGCTGGCTTTTGACCTGAATAAAATTTCACCAGTGCACCAGTGATCTGTGATTCCCACTTGTAAAATATGAGGCAACACATCACAGAAGACCATCCTGCACTTACTTTTCTCATCACTACACAACATTTGCTAGGTGCACTCTGAGACAGTCTGGAGTATATTCCTCTTTTATCTAACACAGGGCATCCTACACTATGTCAAACATCGGAACATTCATTTATTGGGTTTCACCTTGGCATAGGATTACATATCATTACATTCTGTCTGTTCTGCCCAACACACCAGTTCTGGATAACTTCTTTATCAACTCATGTATTCTTTCCCAGAAGAGGTTGTCTGCAACAGGAGGTAGTCTTTAGGTCATGAGACATGAGATACAAGGACACTCAGTGTTCATACAAAGGACTCGCAGTAATTTGTCCTCTTAGTGGGACTATAGGGGATTTTTTTCCAGTTAATAGAACAACTAGAAATTGTTGCTTGGATAACAAGAGCAGAAGAGGCATAAGGACAGAGAAAACTGCATTTGAAAGAGGTCTGAGTGGGTTAATAGGCCCATCATGAGACTTCTTCAGCCTTGGGATCTGAGAGTTTGGTCTCATAATGCAAATGTGTCTGAACTTACTCAACGTTTTACTTTTACTTACTGTAAGCCAAATCATGATTTTTCTTTTATTTATTTATTTAAATTTCTGTTGCCAAATCAAACATTTGAAAGTCTCACAGATTAAATAAATTTCTATTTTATGTTATTTTTCATTTTTGTTACATCTAAAAAGGGCTTGAATCATTTCTTTGAGTGTGGGTCATCTTATTAAATGTGATTGATTGTGGACTAGATGTTAACTAACCTCTGGCTTAGATCAGGTAAAAGCTAGGACCTCAGAATGAAATCAGAATTGTCTGACTAACTAACTAACTAATTGACTGATGTTAATGTGAACACTTGGCTTTGGTGATTGAAACAATCATCTGACAGATCTTACCAACAGTTCTACCTGAAACTCACACTCATGGCTCTGTAGACAAATATTTCAACAACTTGAGAATCAAAATGCAATAATGACATGGTGAGCAGCGCAGCCAGGCCTAAGTTTCCTCCTCCCCACCCCTAAATCAGCTCCTCCTAGTGGCTGTGTAATAGAGAGGGAGGAGAGAAGGCATAGAGTGGGTTTAACACAACCGAGACCTGTTTTCACTAATCATATCAGCTCCTCTCCTTACCTTTAAATCCGCCACTGGTGAGGTTTATTACAATTTCCGTGCAGTAGTCAAAGAGATCAAGAGATGTCTGAAAACAGCAATGCCACACGATGGCAACAGAAGGCAGCCCCTCAACAAGTGTCGCTGTAAGTGCTGCAGAGGGCGTTCTCCACACTGTCTCATATAAGCACAGATGGATTTGGTGTGTGTAATGTTGTACCCGCATTAAAATCTGAACCACCTGTGCGTAAAGGACACACCTTGTTCCGTGGCCTGGCTGTTTCTTTCATAGATGTTGGTATATAAAATGCACTTGGCTTATGCAACTGAATATCATAAATATTCGCATATGGGTCTAACTCCGGATTGAATATTCACAGGATTTTAAGGATGTGAGAACATCAGATAAACAGGTGATTTTGAACGAAAGTTTCTTTTATTTTTTTGTTCAAATTGTCAAAGTAAATAACTCTTCTGATCACTAAAATAAATCATCTGGTCAGCCTTGCTACCGCCGCAGCAGCAGGATGGGGAGAGGACATGTAGACATGTCCAGTCAAGCTGCGCGAGGAAGAAGGAGAAAAAGGGAAGAGACTAATTGAATTTCTTGTTAACTTCATAATATGTGACTGTTTACTGGATATTGAATTTAATACGGTTTCAGCTGTGTTAATTCGGTCAGGTTGGGTGTCCAAACGCGTGCCAAATGCGCTCATCAGATAAGATATAGATCAGAATATATCAATATAGACCTAAATGTATGTGCTGATTCAGATAGTTGCTCTGAATAGTGGTTGTTGTTCATTATTTATTGCACTGAAATGAGCCTGACACTGTGGAAACCTGCCGGTGAGGGATTGGTGACGTATCTACCAAAATACCACGAGACCAGCTGTGCTCTGCCTGTACTGAAAGCTGACCAGGTTTGAATCGGCGAGCTTTCAGTGCACTTGCCATGCTACCGGTGAGCACGAAAATGTCACTGCGCCTGCTGATTCTGTCAACACCTCCCCCTACCGCACCACCATGCCCAGCTTGGCACACCTCAGTATGCCTCAGTCTACGAAAATACCTCTCAATAGTTCCAACATGGCTACCTGTCATGTCGGACGCGGTTCACTTCTATGGCCACAAGGCAAGCACTCACCGAGGTAAAATGATAAAATATCAACAAGTTTAATGCCAATACGTGTGTTATTGATATCGAGGGGACCCCTTTATGTGTAAAAATGTATATCCCAAATGTAATTAGGTTTTTTAGTCAGGAATTGGGATCGATTTTTTTTTAGCCACGGCTTGCTCCCACACTCCCCGAGGTAAAATATTGTATCAATGAATTTAATGCCAATACGTGTGTTAATGGTATCGAGGGACCCCTTTATATGTAAAATGATTTTAATTTTAGTATGCTCAAATTGTAATTACAAATGTAATTACGTTTTTTTTGTTAGGAATTGGGATTGATTTTTTTTAGCCACTGCCTGCTAGCTGGACGTCGTCAGCTGTAGAGGCCTGGCAAAATTTATTGTGTGACTGAGTTTTGAATCACAGATAAATCAATATCATTAATCATATGTTGAGATGGTTACTTATAGGCTTATTTCAGATTTCAGCCTTTATCAGTACCCAATGTTATGTGGAATTTATTCTTTTTAGACTAACATAGGTGCTATGTAATTTGATTTCTGCTTATGTATACCATGGGATGATAGAGTAAAAGGACCGCTACTTTTTATATTCTGTCAGCATTTAAGGCATATGTTTAACATGGAAAAATGTTATGCAGGCCATGCTGCAAGACCAAAACATTGCACAATTGTTTAAACAGCTTGTAACACCTGTTTCTTAACACTTTATTGTATTATTTTCTCTTATAAAAAAGTAACATCTGTTACGACTTTATGATTTGCTCTCCAACCCAATCCTTTAATTAAATCTAATCTATTTGAACTTTGAACAGTCAAAAGAGGAGGCCAATGAACACTGCTCCGTTGGATTCGGCTGCTTGCGGTTGCTGCTGCCGCTTGCACCTGGCTGTGGCACAGGACTACTGGGGTCTGCCGATGGTGGATGAGATCAGGATAAATCTACCTTCTCCTTGACCTGCAAATAGAAATTTAAATTATTATCCTACTCCGTTAACACAAACTGACATGCGGTTGACATTTTTAGGTTGTTCTCTAGGTGCACCTCCTCCTGCTGCTGCCCCTGACAGCCGCAGCTGGCGTTGGCTAGGGGTGGACATCGTTGGCTGGTGGCTGCTGCCAGCGGCTGGTTGCAGCTGCTGGAGTGAGGGACCACTGGAGTCTGCTGGTGATGGAGAAGGGGTGGAAAGCCTGATTACGTCCATGGCAACCAGTAAGGGGCTTGGCAGTGGCCTAGATTATGTTGCCATTGTTGCAGTAGACGTAGCTGGTTTCTTTTTTCCCCTTTTGCTTTGGCTCTTGCTGCTAAAGCACCCTCTCTGTGTGTCTTTCTTTTTTGCAGCCCAGATGCACTTAGAGACAATTCTCAACCTCAGCCGGACGTATCTGGTGAGAATTTTTTTCTTAAGCTCATGGCATTAGGGAAGGTTGCTGTCAAGTTTCATTGCCGCTTGTTCCAGCATTGCCACTGCATTGGTTGATTCCATGAGTGAGTCAACTGAGGTTACCGGGATCAGCTGCTCCACACTCTGAATGAGAGTGAAAACTTCATCAGATGCCTCCCTTTTAAACTCCTTCAATCTGAGAAGAACATCTCTCTCACTTGCATTTTCATTTTCTATTAGGGAGCTCTGGCATTCCTCACAAAGTGAGCAGCCGATGACCCTCTTCACAATGTATCCTGCCAGGTGGTAGAGGACACAGAACTCTTTTTTAGTGAAGTCAGGCAGTGATGCTGGGTCATCCAGCTGCTCCAGACACACCACTGGAGGAGGACTGCAGCTGCTTCTCTTTGAGTCCAGGAAGTCTGCCAAATGGTCAGATCCGTCATCCAGGTAATTGCCGGTAGGGACTGTGGTGAGGAACTGTCCAACAGTGACAGCTCGCAGTGCGTAGTGGAACTCTGCTGGTGTTGGGACAGGGTTCCTCTGAGGAATACAAGAAAAGGTGTTCTCCAGGCAGTCCTGTGTAAACCGACTTGTGAGAACAAATTTGTGCCCTTTGCTCAACAGGTCTTGCTGGACTTCCAGGATCACTCTTGTGGCCATCACAAGTCCTGTCTGGACTGGTTTCCAGCTGCCCAGGTGACCGATCTTCAGGCCCCGAAACAGGTGGATGCTGTCCTGGAGAAAGTGGATGGCTTTCTCATACTCCTCCATTTTGAACAGGCTGAGGGCAGTGGCAACATTCCGGGAAGACATGAGGTCAAACCAGTGGTCCACCTTCTCCAAAAACCATGATGTCACAAGGTAGGATTGTGATCGCTGCTCTTCCTCCACAAGGTACCTCAGGGCAGCACTCATTGCCATGTTGAAAATATGCATTGCAGAACTAACCTTCATTTTTTCAAAATGGTTAGGCTCAAGGATGGCACGGGACAGTTTTGGTGCCAGTTAAAGTTCCATGCTCTGCTGGAAGGAAACGAGATCCTTTAGGGGATCAACTGACACGACACTGGACGCCAGCTGCTCTTTGTGCACCACATCTTGTGGAATGGTGATGGTTTGACTCCGGATGAGGGCACTTCTCAAATTCTTGACAAGATATGGAACATCAGCCATGAAATAGAGCTGCTTGTGTTGCTCAACAGGATGGGGTATCCATGGCTTATCCTGGGTCACCCCAAATGACTTCCACATTGCCTGATTGGGACTCCCCATGTCACTGGTGATGTTTGTAACATGAAGCCCTACAGATGCTGCAGCTTCTACTGTGGCAATGATGATGAGCTGATAAACTGAGCCGTCTGTAGAATTACCGCTGTAGTGGTAAGCAACAATTTGCTTAAACACACAGGCATGCATTGCTTGCCCTGTGTGACTGGGAAGTGTTGCGTTGCCAAATAGTCTCCTCGCTCCCATATGCAGCTCCATGCCTGGACTGATGGCCATCTCCTCCAGTGTGAGTACACATTCCCTCTCCATTTTGTTTATTCCCTCTGCCTTTAGCTTTAGCATTTTGATCACCTCCATCAACACTCCAGGCTCCATCTTAACATGCTGCATCCTCTGTTGTGTAGTCCTAATGTCAGGTCGGGGGATTTTCATTTTTTGCAATGTTTTGTAGCCTGTTGTGCCAGCAGTAAATCGAATTTGTATGGCTTTTTTCAGGGTCTGATTGCTCCAGCGTATCCATCTCTTCTTCTCTCTTCCTAATGACTGAATTTGGTCTGTGTTAAAAATGGATCTGAACTTTTTTTGAATTAAATTGTTCTTCTTTCTTAAACCAAAATTTATTTTCTTTTGTTGTTTAAGAGCCCTCTTCACTCTCTTTCTTCGGAGTGTCTCAATCCTCAATTGCTCTCTTAGGTCATTAACAGTAGCCCTGTCATTACTGGTCCCTTGCCCCTGTCGCAGTGGCTTCTTCACTGGCCCTTGGAGCTTCGAGGACCTCACCATCGTCTACCTGTGGGCTGCCTACTCCTATTTGTTCTGCCTCAATTTCTGCCTCATTTTCTGTAATAATGACATGGTATTGTTTCAGTTAATATGCATTTGCTTTCTTTACATCACCATCTTCTTTCATGTCCTGTTTCAAGGGATAGTTCGCCCTGATTTGACTAGTGTTGTTTGTTTTTAAAAACGTAAAAATAATTAGCTGTCAAGCCTCAAATGTCTGGCGTCGATGGACGCTCCCCTGCGTCAAAGTCACATGACATATTTAACCGGATGTAGCTGCAAGAGGGAGCCTCGTTGAATCTCCGTTTCAACTTATCTCAAAAGTGAGGACCTTAAACTATATACCAGTTTTTAAATTGTGTTGATATACCAAATAAAACCAGAGTTATGATTAAATATGTCCGCGATACTTTTTTTCTGCTTATTTTGATCACGTTCGGCGCTCGATCGCGCTGTATGAGTCACGAAAACATAGCATGCAGACATTAGCGACAGGTCTTACAGGCGGAAAAGGCTTGCCAAAAGAAAAAAAAAAAACACACCACAACATCTCTCCTATTGGTGGAAAACTTCACCACAACAACCACTCCAAAATTATATGGCGACTGATTGACAAGGGGCGGGCGCTTACGTTCTTCCTGCAACATGAGAAGGGAGGGAGGGACTCTCAGCAGGGATGGAGTCTGGGATGCATAGTTGCAAGCAGTGACTTTTCAGACCCCCTAACGACTTTTTTAGAAAAAAAAGCGACTTTTAGCGACTTCTTCTGGAGTTTAGAGACTCTAACATGAAGCAGGCTTTCCTTACTCAGGAGTGAGCAACGCTGCTCAGGCTGCAGAGCCAAACATGCGCTCCGTGCTCTGCATGGGAGACTGAAGCTGACAGAGCTGCAGCAGTGAGCAGGTTTAACCCTCAGAGACCACCAGGGGTCCATGTTGAGACATTTTCAGTTTTTTTTTTTTTTTTTCCATAGACACAGTCAGAACAATCTGCAATAACACTAACAAAATGCAGCAAAATCCAAGAATTATAGAAAATTACAAATGGACTGACATAGAGGAGGATCTACACAAGTTTTTTACATCGTGTTTTACATTATGCATCATTTACATCATGTTTTTTTGTAGTGGCATAAATAAAATGTTACATTTGTGAGACTATACGTTGTTTTGTAAATAGTTGTACAAAAATCGCCTGAGGCATTGCCTGCATTTTGATGTAAATAAAGGTAAATTACTTTATTTGTCAAAATTTTGCATATGTTTTGAAGTTTACAATTTTTATTTGCAGTTTAAGTTTTGAAAACAGTTCGTCACACATATTTGTAGTTTTCACAGTAAGAAATGTTACTTTTTTCCACTCAGATTTTATGTGTTGTGTGTGAAAATTTTGTTAATACAGTTTGTCAAAATGATAAAATAACTGTAAATTCACACAGGTGCGGTTGTGCTGAAAAAAATGATACCAAGCAAGGCAAGGTAAACAGTTTTTAAGAGGAAATATAAAGGTAAATTCAAAAGTAGTCAAAAACGGCCAATTATACCCCAGACCAGTCATCCCTGAGACTTCCATTATAAATCAGAGCTGAAAAGATGAATACTTTTATAACATTGCAGGACATTCTGAAGCGCTTCTCTGTTATTCACCGCTGCTGTAGTGTGGAAATGTGGGAAAATGTGGCCAAGTGCTTCAACTGATTTTCATGTGACCAGATGTGTGTTCGAAGGTGATAATAGCTGCCTGCATTTGACATTTATCTTATTAAATGTGTTTATATGGAATGTTTTGTATGTATCTGTGATTGTCCAGTAGCATTGGTGGTAACAGTCAACTCTCACCTGTATTGACATTAAATCATACATTATACATGCATACACGTTATTGATGACAAACACATCTGGGGCCTGTTGCATAAAAGTAGGATAAGGGATTAAGCCGGGATATGTTGTTATCCTGGATCAACTTATCCGTGATCCGGTTGCATAAAAGTAGGATAGGGGAAAGTGGGATATGTTATGACACAAGTTACCATGGAGACTTATTCTGTGGAGCTAGCCTGCTCCAGACCAGGCTAAGTTCCAGGATCTGTTAAATCTTATCCCTTATCTCAGTCAGCAGTCACCACGAATGGACACTAATATTCATGCCACCGCCCACTATACATTATCACATTTAACTACACCCGCTCTATTATTAAATCTATGTATATAAATAAAATACACAAAGAGTAACATGATGTTTCTTTATTGAATAAGGATGAATCAAAGCAAGTAAACCATCAGCACCTTTCATCATTGCATTTCAGGTAAACTATGTGCATTTCTTTGTCTTAATAATACAGTTGATCATTAGTGAATGACTTCCAACCAATCATAGCACTCAGGTAGGATGGCAGATAGCAATTCCACAGTCTGATTTAATGGCAAGTCTCATATCTATGGTAGCCCTAACTGTGCATACATTAAACAAGCAGACACCAAAATCTCATGTCACCTTTATTTATTGTTCATCTTCTTGTAGCTGGGGAGGAAAGGAGAATAATGATAAATACATTGTTTGTGTTACAGTCAGCATACAGTGTGCATTGAAGGCATGACTCACCTCACGCTCAAGTTTTATCTTTTACCATCTTTTACCTCTTCATACACTTCCATAAGTATATCCTGCTCCGACAGGGAGAAGAATGCATCTCTGGTTGTCATGGTGAATAGGTGAATCTGTGATCGATCGCGGGGGTCTATTTAAGGAGCCAGGTGCGCGCATTTATCCAGGATTGCTTTCAGCTTGCTCGCTGAATCCGTTTCTTCTCATCCTGGATTAGCGTTTATGCAACCGAATAAGCCTGGACGCTCTTGTTTTGGATTCGTTGAGCTCAGCTCAGTCACTTATCCTGGATATCTGAATCCTACTTCTATGCAACAGGCCCCTGGTTTTACAATATTAGTTTATTTTGAGCCTTCTCATAAATTTTTGGATTGATTTTTTTCTGGTTTTCACACACACACGTGGTTGTGACATTCATTTAAATTGCCCACATAAAATCTCTGAATGAAAACCATCATTTATCAACATTGTCCAATGTCAGAGTGTTCAAGAATAGCCTTATGTTGCTAAATAAGAGATCACTTTGCAACAGGTTACGTTTTAGTTCCTTATTCTCCAGATAGTGAAGCTAGCAAAGTTTTCCGTTCAAAAACACACCCAGACAAACTTGTCTTATTTCACTTTGCTAATTTATTTATTTACTTATTTATCTTATTTCACATCCAGCCACTAAATATACATGAGTGACTTTGACGTGTACACAGTAATCCAATAAGAGTTGCAAATGTTGACTTTTTAAGGTTAATTTTAATATTTACCTCTTAAATGCGCGCTCACTGCAGTCTGTCCCGCTGAAGAGTATGGACAGTGCAGGCTGCGCTTGGAACTATCGAGGGGTACATGAACCACGTGACCGCTCCCGCGGCGAGATCTGAAGTTATCGCCACTCTATTTAATCTACTGCTCTGGGACTGACTGGCTGACAGTCATGAGATCCAACCAAGTTAGGGAGGCTTAAAGACACATATCTCTGACTGCCATGCACTGAAAAATTAAAGAATACCTGCGGGGAGGGACAATCAGGTACAGCGACTGTCATAGATGAATTAGGGCAGTGGTTCTCAACCGGTCTCGCTCTGGAACCCACATTTTCCCGTGGTCCTTAAGTTTTGACCGACTTTTATAGAATTCAAATCAAGCAAATGAAGAAAAAAAGAAAAAACTCAAGACTCAAATTTTAAAATAAATACACCCATTTTATTGAGTAAAGTGCACTTCAGAGCACATGAACTGAGGACAACCACTACTAAAGTTGCATATACAGAAAATATCAAATATCAAATTGCACAAAATGAAGACCAGCAAAATAAAAATATGACTTATATGCATCTCTGCATTCAGAGCATATTCAGAATACGAAACAGAAGAGGACCATGACATAATGCGTGCCTTTCAAAATAAGATATTTTTCAAAATAAAAGACACATCAAACATCACAAGCACATTAAGTATGTACTTTTTTTACCAGCTCTTTGTGATCCATCCAGAACGTGTCTATGACCCACTTTAGGGTCGGGACCCACCAGTTGAGAACCACTGGATAAGGGGATAAACTGGTCTCCTGTCCTTATCCAAGTTTACATGTAGTGGGCAATAATCTAATCATTGACAGAAGCATGTCATCCTTTGCTACAGCAGGTGGAGACATACCTCCTTTCAGCCCATTTCTTCCAAGTCATTTCATCCAAGTGGATGTGTTCCAAACAAAATAATCATCAAAACATGTTAGCAAGTGGCTGAGAGGATGTAGGCCGAATGACCTGAAGGATTGTAAAGTTTTGTCTTTTTTATGTCTCTTTTTGCAACTGAGAATTGTTGTATTGACTGTATTCTCCAGGTACGTTGGTCCAACTGTGAGAACTTTGATTTAGTATGATTTCAGTCAGACTTTTGTACTTAAAATGGTTGTTAAAAGTCCAGTTTCAATCAGGCTATGTAAAGATATTAAAGGTTGACTGATTTCCCAGCAGACTCAGGTCTTTAGAGACCGCCTGAGCCCAGCTCTCCTCCTGTGTTGGTAGAAAGACTGAAACAAATGTCTTAACAGTCCCCTTCTTCTTCTGAGACTCTCTGTGCACTTGCAGCTGTTTTCTGGTTGTCACCCATGTTGTCTCCTTCTGTCTGGATCTGTGCTTGAGTCATATTTGCTCTCTAATGTATGTCACTTTAAATAAAAGTTTCCACTAAATGAAACCATAACATTGTGCCATCATAATATAGGAGAGTAATTTATTCACATTAAAATGAATAGTTTTACAGTGTATACTTCTATTTTATTAAACCAACCAAGTTGTGTATTCCAGAGCGTCTCTTTGCAAAGGTGTTTCTTATGTTATTTTCAGCCACTGTGTTCCTGTAGTTTCACTTATTATGCCATCATTTATTCAAGTTGAGGT